GGGGGCGGGGCAGGGGAAATGTGGGGGAGAAGGGGACCGGGCCGTAACAGGTATCAGGGCCTGACAGAAAGGGGGCGTGGCGGGAGGAGGCAGGATTTTCCCGGCCCTTGGCTTTCTGAGGGAGACGTGTGAGTTTCCCCTCTCAGGCGGTAGCGTGGCCCTTGTCTGTGTGGTGTCAGCATTGTAGAGTACCTAGCAGATAACAGTTCAGAGATGCAGCTTCTTAGCTTGGCTCTTGATTGCCTGTTTCTAGGACCTGCTGCCTCACATCCTTTTGTCTTAAGCGTTCCCCACTTTTATGACAGGGGTACTTCTGTCATCCCAGCACCGAGGGTGAGACAGGAAGGTCTCAGTAGTTCAGGGCCAGCCTGGACTACATAGTGAGACCCACCTTTCAAAAACGGGGAAAAAATGGAAAGTCCAGCCTGGGTTACATGGTGAGTTTAAGGTCAGCCTGAGCTATATAACAAGACTCTCAAAAACAAGAACAAAAATTGTATCTGACTTCCCCCGTCCTCAGTGAGCAAACTGAGGCTTTCTAATATTAAGGCTACAGTCTGAAGCGACAGGCATCTTTTACCTTTCAATCTATTTTTAAAAGGGGAGGAGGATTTGAAATGGAAACATTATTTGCAAGTTAGTTTTCTAAATGTGAACATGTCCACTTTGTCCACTGTTTTACTAACATCTTCCATTGAGGTCTCCCAGGAAATGCTTTACTCATGAAGAAAGAACATAACAGTTTCGCCCATTGTGGAAAGCCCAGATGTCTTGGTATTTTGGGGATTGTTTTTCAAGGAAATGGAGTGTTGCAGCTGCACAGCCACTTGGCACAGTAAGACACACTGTCAGGACAGGGGGAATGTTAGTGTTCACGTGAGTTATCACCCTTCCCCACATAGCCTGGCTCCACACATCAGAGACGACACCCCCAAGAGAGGCCTCCTTCTTCACAGTCTGAGATGGCATCTGTGGACTTCAAGACCTATGTGGACCAGGCCTGCAGAGCAGCTGAGGAGTTTGTCAACGTCTACTACACTACCATGGATAAGCGCCGGCGCCTGCTGTCCCGCCTCTACATGGGCACAGCCACTTTGGTGTGGAATGGAAATGCCGTTTCTGGACAGGAGTCTCTGAGTGAGTTCTTTGAAATGCTGCCCTCCAGCGAGTTTCAGATCAATGTGGTCGACTGCCAGCCTGTCCATGATGAGGCCACACCGAGCCAGACCACAGTCCTTGTTGTCATCTGTGGGTCAGTGAAGTTTGAGGGCAACAAACAGCGAGACTTCAACCAGAATTTCATCCTCACTGCTCAGGCCTCCCCCAACAACACAGTGTGGAAGATCGCAAGTGACTGTTTCCGGTTCCAGGACTGGGCCATCTAGTGAGATGAGAAGGGCCTGTGCTGCAGCTGCAGCTCTGTGAAGGGCGCTGTCTCAGCTCTCAGTATGTGGGGACACAAGCTCTTTTCTGTTGTTGCCACAGTGCCACAGATCACACTATGCTGAGGCCGAAGTTCCTACATTTGTTTTCACCCCAGGTGCCCCATTCCTGAATATATACTTGTTTGTTATAGTTGCCTTTTAAAAGTAGTAAACTTTTCTATTTTTCTATTTGCCTAGTAGAGACAGTGAAAATTTGGAAAATAAAAAGTTAATGCTAGTTGCTTCCCTTCCTATGCCTGAAGTAGTACCCTACTAGATCTTGAACTGGAGGAGGATTAAAGATGGAGGGAGGCACCTACAAGGCGCATGGGTCCTGGGCTGCATTCCCCCCACCAGTGCTGTGTGCACTCAGGTAACCTGGAACTGGGGACCAGAACCCCCACCTGGTGCACCAGAGTCCTAAGGCAGGGTTGCCTGTCTTGACCCATGGATCACTTTCCCTTACCTGGGAATCACTGAGCTGGTGGCTGGGTCCCCACTTTGCATCTGAGAAGAGTGTTGAAAGATGAGAGCAGACAAACTACAGAGATAGTAACTGCTTTTACAGGAGCAGCTGCCTTAAACTCAGAGAGTGAGACTGCTGTTTCAGGGAACTCCCAGTTCAGTGGCATCAGAACTACTGACCAAGCTAACCCTGATTGCAAAAAATCCTGCAGAAGTACTCTCACTCCTTGACTAGTGAGTGACATCTCATGTGGTAAGAGTTGGCTGGGCTTGGGATAGGGTCACAGACACTGGAATGGGAATGTACTGGAGAGAAGAAACTCCTGGTGTGTAGTGGCACAGACAGCAGGATCTTTCTTATCCCCCCTCCCTTCTCAGAGCACCAAGTCCTGAAACCCAGTGCTTAGAGGGACAAGGGACATCTTGAAAGGTGTCTTCATCTTGCAGCCAGTTTGCCATGTTGATGAATTCTGGCAGCTCCATCTCAGGACAGATCAGCCATACCCTACAGGTAGAGTCGCTTTGAGCTAGGAGCCTGGGTCCCAACACAGCCCCAGTTCACATCCCCCAAGAATGCTTTCTAAGAGAATGACTCTGTCACAAGCCGTCCTCATGGGGTTCACATTGTGAACACAGCACTGATGTTAAGAGGAAAGCACTTGCCACAGGGTTTACTGGTTTATTGTATAGTGGCTCTGCCATGTCACCTGGGGAACCAGACTTGGCTCTACTCTGAAACAAGGTGGCTGATGTGACGAGTGCAGACCAATGCAGACATTGCTGGAGAACTGCCCCATGTTTGGGCTGCTCTGAGTATGTCTAGCTTCCACTGCTTGATGTTTACACAGTTGGCTGAGAACACTTTTCACAACATACCTCTGTCATTAAACCGTGCATGACTGCAGCCTCAAAGCCACATGTGAAGAGCAATCAGACAGGTTGCACAGCTTGTGCCTAACTAGCCAAGACAAGCTTTGCGGCTGAGACATTGGTGAGACCTGGGAGGTAGGAACAAACACCAGAGCCAAGCCTCCGAGAGGGTTGGCTGAGAAGCTGGAGCCCCAAATGGATACAGCCCACAGGAGACAGGAAGGAGAGAGGCCCTGCCTCTAGGGAGCCCAGAACTGCACAGGAATCCTCGCAGCTTGGGTCAGAGAGGCTGGAGAATCTTCAGACAGCAGGCCCCTTAACACGACGAGCTCCACACTAGGTTCAGTGGACATGTCCCAGTCTGGAACAGGAGCAGGATGCTGGCCACCTGTCTCCCTGTCAGCCCTTCACAGGGTAAGGCAGCAGTGACCCTCCCCATCCTGTCCTCTCTTGTCCCAACCTAGGAAGGCAGGATGAAGAGGATCCCAGCCAAGCTCACACATGGCACCCTTATGCAATCCTGGACACACTGGACTAAGCACCCAGTGGCTGCAAGCAAAGTGTTGTGAGGGCGAAATCTACCACCCCTGCTGCCTGTCCTGGGACAGAGACCACAGCTGGCTGGGGGAGGACACCAGCAGGTGTGAGAGGGCTCCTGGCAAAGTAGGGCAGGTGAGGCTTGGGGACCCAGAAGGAACCCCAGTTTGACCCCAGGATTCTACCTACCTCCATTCTTTCCAAGGTTTCAGGACCTTCAGGCAAAGGTTTCTAGGAGGGTGGAAATGAGATTCTGAATGTAGAAGTTTTCGTCCCTTTCTTCACTCCCTGCCTGCACATCCTTGAGCTTAGTGCTATGGATGACCTGCAGCCTGATGAACTGAAGGAAGGGAGCCTGGTTCACAAATCTGCCTTGTAAAATTAATAGTTGAGTATTGCAGAAGCAGGTTGGAGATTTAGCTCAGTGGTTCCACTGCCTGCCTCACAAGTGCAAGGTCCTGAGTCTGATCCCAGTACCACCCCCCAAAAAAGTTGCAGAATAAAAAAACAGATTCTTCATCTAGATTTGCCTTTAATGAAATTATCCTAAAGCAAGTTGAAGATTTCACTGGCTAAAGAGTGGCCATAAACACCCACCCTGTCTACTATGACCCAACTCACAAGCCCCACAGAGTCAGAGAATGAGAAGGGAGGTGTGCTGCATTCTCAGTGTCTGCTGCCCCAGTCACTCCCACTTCTGGTCCCTCTGCATGGCACAGCAAGGTCTATGTGTTCTCTGGCTTGGGTCTGGTGAGGTGAAACTAGTAGAGCAGGGTGGGCGGGGAGAGTAGACAGAGGGAAGGCTGATGAGCAGGTGGTGGAGGAAGCCCTGAAAGGCAGGGGGTGGGGTGAAGGTGACAGACATTGAGCAGTCTCCATCACTGCTGAGATAGGACAGCCAGATACCTGCCCAGTGCCACCCCACTACATCTTAAGGCTGCTGTTGGTATTAGGGTTTGGTTTGGTTTTCTTTGAGATAGGGTCTCTGTGTTGCACAGACTGGTATCCAATTCCTGGGCTCAGGTGATCCTCCTGCCTCAACCTCCTGAGTAGCTGGGACTTCGGGTGTGTACCACTGTGCTCACGATGCTGCTAATATTAGAGCAGAGCCCTCTGGACCTTCGCTGGAGTAGAAAATCCAGCACTCCCCTTGGATTTTCATCCTGCAGACCCTTGCCAACCACGAACACAACACCTTTAAAGGGCCAGATGAGTTCATTCACGTGGCATTATTCATGATATCCCAATAACTTCAATAGTTGTTCTCCTCGAACCACGCCTGCTCCCGACCCAGCCGCCATCGCTCAAGCGCCAGGAGGTAGGCTGGGCCCCGATCCACCGCAGGAAGAAGAACCAAGCCTGATCCCGACCCAGCCGCCATCGCTCAAGCGCCAGGAGATAGCTGCACAGGCACCCCTGAACCCCCATAAGTCATGTCCTACCCCTCCCCCCCCACACTCTCAGACCTCCTGTGTCAGTCTTTGGACCCACTCTGCAGAGGCAGAGGTGGTCATCAAGAGTATTTTTCTGAGTTCCCAACTTTGAACATCTTTAAAGAAAGGGCGTGGGAAACCTGTAATAGAGTGTTGTGGAGTTCAACCATTCAGAAGGTTGGGGAACTCAATCTGGGCCTTGCAGCCCAAGGTCAGTCAGCGTCATGGGGTTCAGCCATCAGCTAACTGAGACCAGGGGTCTTGCATCCTCGCTCCGTCTGAGCCATTAAATGGTAAATACACTATATTGAAATTTTGTTCACTGCAGACATGTTCTGGACTGCTTATTGATTTCAATTTAATTCAAATGATTTAAGGGTGATAGACTAGTGACTACCACAGGTGGTCAATGTCCAAGTTGTGCTTGATCTTAATGTGTTGTTGATTGTATCCGTTGGGATAAAGCATTGTGGATGATTTGATGAGCTGTTTCTCTGATGTTATGAAGATGAGAATGTCTGTGGGTCGTTAGAGACACAGAAGCTAGGGCGCAAATATATCAGGAAGATTTGGGTGATAACCCAGAGAGTAAACCAAGGACAGTCCGACAACAAAAATAAAAATGAGAAAACACTTAAGCAAGACACAAGGACAGACTTCCAGTCCACCAATGGCAATCAGTAGAGCAAATGAGGATGAAAGGGCCAATAGTGAACCACCAAGACACCCTGAACTCAAAGCACAGGAAGTAACCAAACAGATCAATCAGGCTCTAGAAAAATTCAAAACAGAACTAATTTCCCAGATAACCATAGAGATAGTGAGCAAAATGGAAGTCGTGATTCGAGACTCTAGAGCAGAAACTGACAAAAAAATAGATGAGCTCAGGACCATGATAGAAGCCATGAAGGCCCAGCATAAGAAAGAAATAGAAAAAATAAATGTCCAACATAGGAAAGAAATAGAATCCATAAAACAGATTCAAACAGATATCCAGGAGGTTAAACACTCCATAGAAAGTGTATGCAACAAAATAAAAAAATGTGAAGATAGACTCTCAAATATAGAAGATAAGATTGCAGTCAGTGACCATGAAAAGAGAGATCTCTTAAAAACAGTAAGGGATCATGAGAAATTGATCCAACAACTCCTAGATGATGCAAAGAAGAATAACATAAGACTGATAGGAATCCATGAAGTAGCAGGAGAAAATACAAATGACTTAAAAAAGCTGTTTGCAGAATTAATGACAGAAAACTTCCCAAACAGAGGGGAAGAATTTGACATTCAGATAACTGAGGCATATAGGACCCCAACTAGCTACAATCAAAAAAAAATCTACACCTAGACATATAATAATCAAGATCCCAGAAACCCAACAGAAGAACAAAATACTACAAGCAGTAAGAGAAAAGAAACAAGTTGCATATAAAGGAAAGCCCATCAGAATCAAAGCAGACTTTTCAACACAAACCCCTGGGGCAAGGAGACCCTGGAATGAGATATTTCAAGCACTAAAAGAGAACAACCTCCAACCTAGACTGATGTATCCAGCAAAACTCTCTATCAAAATGGATGGGGAAATAAGACACTTCCACGACAAAGAACAACCTGAGAAACTGCATGAATACCAAACCAGCCCTACAAGTAATTCTAAACAAGATCCTAGAAAAAGACAGTGAAGGCAACAGCACCATGAGGCCCAACAGAGCAAATCAAATAGGCAAGGCAAGAAATTAAAAGGAGAAGGTGAAAAAGTAAAAAGAGTCAACAAAAGCCCAATAACATGTTAATAATAAGTCAGTACATATCAGTTACAACCAGCAATGTCAATGTCCTCAACTCACCAATCAAGAGAAATAGACTGGCAAAATGGAATAAGAAGCAAAATCCAA